CCCCAAAAAAAAAAGACCTTAGACATTGGCTGCGATCTAATCGCGTATTATACTATTGATGAAAATTATATTCTGTACTACCGGGTTGATACAATGTTGTCACTGATAATATTGTTGGTGGTGATTAAATGATTGACTAAGCAGCTGATAATGAATCCAACAGCACCTTTGGTTAGGCTTTTGTTGTTGCACGTAAAAGAAGTTGATAGATTTTCGTAAGAGGAAGTCCTGTCCTACAACTGTTTTCTGCCTTGCTGATAAGGTGCGGTATCTCACTCAGCCCGAGTTAACCCTGTGCAGCCCAGCAGAAGTAATACGTCACCAGAATTGTCAAAATTGTGTCGATGAGGGCGACAATAATTTATAAACACTGATTTAGTTAAAGCAAAAGTTTTAAGACACTTGCAACACATATTATAGATCATATAAGTGTCGAAGATTAGAGGTGTTGCTAGAGAGGAAAATAAATAGATAAAATGGAGGAGATATACGGACAAATAGTAGATTAGATTTTTTAAAAGAATGAGCAAACCACATCAAATTACCCCCCAAACCACCCATCCACAAATTTTGGGCAATCCCAAAGTCGCCGTTATTTGTCCGCACTGCTCATGAACTACATGTAGGGAAGACAAGATGATGCCTAAATCGTCAGATACACCGTCTTTGCTGAAAGACTATTAGCTTTTTCAGGACGTAGCGGATACATAACGACATGTCTGACCAGTAGCGGCATAATTTAAGGCAATGTTGCAGCACATTTTCGAACCATCATACACAAATTAGAATTTATACGAATTCGAATATATAAACATGTAGTAGACTAACCTGCGTTTTTAAGTTTCATATAAAGAAAACAGAATCGGCAAACCGGTTTGAATTATAACGAAGTTATGTTTCCATTTTACAGTGTCCCGAAACATCGCGGTGTCGAGTGACCAGACCGCCCGTCATCAATGGGATAAGTTGCCCCAACACACGAATACATGTTTATCGGTGCCTCTGTACAATATCTTATCCACATAAAACCCTTACATGGTAAGTGGTTTGAGGCCCGGTGCTTCCCCTTACAGACTACGTCATTAGAAACTGAGGAACGGTTCCAGGAAGTAAAAGTGAAAACACAGATCACGGAAGTTCTCAGCAACTCAGAGAAAACAAAGTATGTGAGAGAACTATGAGGGTTTCAAAATATGCAGGACATTACCTTAAACTGCTGGTTATAGAGACCTTTTTCATGGGAAAAAGGGGGGGGGGGATCATATCCACAGGGAGACATTTCATTGGATTTCATGTGGCATATTTGGTCAATTATGCCCAATGTGGCATACGTGTATAATTGTACCTTCACAGATTCACAGAAATTAATGCACAGGAAAGTAGGACATGGAACAACATCAAGAGGCTAGGCCTGAGAAAGGTAGAAAGCGCTTGTTGTGGCCTATACCCTGAACCAGGGTGAGGAAGGCATTGATGATGATGCTCTGCAGCAATACTAGTAGCCCTTGATCTACGAGCGTACAAAAAAACTTTACAGAGCAGATAACGGTTAGCCATGCCTTGAGATAACACAGATGTTTAACCTCAAAATGTCACCATGTCAAGGAGAAAAAAAGGAGAACAACCAGCAATAATAACAGCAAGATCAATAAATAATATATACAGTC